GCGTGCGTGATGGAGTCCTTCGACGTTACCGCCCTTTATACAAACGTGTCGAATGACTCCGCAATGCAAGCCATATTCGAACTCCTTACACAATACGAAGGAAAAATAAACATGTATGGCTTCAGGATAGAGCAACTGATGGCACTCTTAAAAGAATGCTTGAGCTGCTCAATCTTCAGATGGTCCGGAAAGTACTACGCTCAAATAAGAGGGTTGGCAATGGGACAACGATTGGCTCCAAGCCTTGCCGTTGCATTTATGTCTAAGGTGGAAGCACCGGTGGCTGATCTCGGGCCGCTACTCTACTGTAGGTATGTAGACGACTGCTTTGTCCTTTGCTCAACACAAAAGGAAATGGACAAATGTTTCAAATTGTTAAACGCACAGTCAGAGTATATCAAGTTCACCCGAAAAAAGCCGAAAGAAAAATGGCTTCCATTTTTGAACGTACAAATTCACCTATCAGAAAATGGCTACATTACAAAGTGGTACCGAAAGCCAAGTAGTAAAAATATCTTGGTTCATTACCTCTCCTCTCACCCCTCTCACACGAAAAGGGCGCTTATAAGAAACATGTTTGGAACAGCAACCAACGTGTGCACGAGAAGAGAGCAGAGAGAGGAGTCCCGGAACTTGGCACGGCAAATAGCCATTTCTAATGGCTACGAAACTGTAGCTCAGGATAGGTGTAAAGGAAATCGTAGGCCTCCAAACGACAACTCTAGCGATAGAAGGGTCCCGTTTATCCTACCCTTCATCTCAAATGATATAAGTACAGCTATAAAACGCTGCTTGAGAAGGGTGGGCTTAGAGAATTCGGTAAGCGTAGTTGAAATACCACCGAGTAATCTTAAGCGCCAGCTAGTTCGTAACCGCCTATATGACCGTCTGTGTGCAACTCAAAATTGCATAATTTGCCCCAGTGGTAGAGACGGTGATTGCATGAGCTCGGGTATAGTTTATCTGATCTCCTGTAAGACGTGTGGTGACGAATACACTGGCGAAACGGGTAGACCCCTCTGTGTCCGCATGAAAGAACACCTAGCCCGCAAAAATAGACCAAATACCCCGCTAGGCACGCATAAGACCCAGAGACATAACGGGGACGACTTCGAAGTATGTGTCACGATCCTCGCACGCGAATCAAGAACACAGGCGCGAAAAACTCTCGAGGCACTCTGGATTAATTTCAGAAATCCGAAAATGAACCGCAGGGAAGAATGCCTCATTATCACGCGTGATATAGGGCAGTATATAAAACTGCTTTTCTGATGTGAGGGGCACATTATACTTCCACGTGATTTCTGTGCGGTTGGTCTCTATGTGACATACTTAGTGGAAACCTCATAGGAAGCGGTGAGTGTGCAAAGCTGTGTTCAAAGTGATTGAAATCTTGGTTTGGGGTTTTTTGGTTATGGAGGCGTCTGGCCGAATAGATTGCTATCAACTTGACCTTTCCAGGCTCTGAGAAAGGCGAAATCCGCCGAAACATCAGCTTAATCGTGAACAAAGAATAATAACACCTCGCGTTTGCTCAACAAAAATACGAAGAAACGATTGAATTTGAAGAAAAGAAAACAAGATGCAGGCATTTCTCTCTACATTGAAAAATACAGTTTTCGTCAGCTGGATTTCATATCTCTGGAGGGTCGAAGGCGCCTTACAAGACACGTGGAATCGATTCCCGCACCCATGGGTCACCAAGCCTTCCATCTCTCCGGGGTCGGCAAATCCGTACCAGACTTGTCTAGGAGGATAGCAGTACTGGCTCAATACATCGATGGGCAACCGCGAGTCATTGTAAAGGCCGAGTATGAAGTCAATCACCTCCAAATGATGCTTAATGAAGTCGTATGCATGGCGCATTCCTAAGGGATTGATCAACGTCGAGAGTTTGTTTTCCATGTTTGAGAAGGAAATGAAGAACTGAACTTCTCAGTGTCCACATAGATTTGTCTAACTTTTTTTTCCAATAACTTCGTACCTTTTTAGGTGAATAGGTTTTGACTTTATTACTTCCGAGAAAAAAGCTTGTTCATGAAATTTGTTATTTGTTCTTCATTGTTTGTTTCGTATTCCGTTCATCTCATCACTTTCTCTTTATCTTCACCCTCGATTTCAATTATTAACATTTTTCATTGAATCACAAATAAGAAAGCCCTTGTCACTGGACTGCACCAGAATTCTTTTTGTCTACTACGGTAGTTTCTTCTCTAATTAGTTGAAAAAATCCTTGTCTCTTAAAGCCTTCTCTTCTTCCAAATTTCATTGTTTAAATGGTCAAATCCGATAAATGGTAGCTGAGTACGACTAGTATAATATGATTTAGAATTTAGCATGAAATATGTGTTTTAATAGACTGTACGAAATCGTTATAATACGATTGTCTAGTAGTTCTTCAGTAAATATTTCACACCTGTGATGTCGCGCATTGAATTCAATGCTTAGGTGCATTATGAAAGTAATTTGGATACCAACTCTAAGCAGGCGTACTTTCGATCAATACCGAATTATTTTAACAAATGCCGACCGATAGTGGTTTTTTTAACAATTGACGAAGAGCATTTGAAGAGTTGAGTGCACCAGATATCTATAGGGCAGACTTGCTGTGTCTCTTTAATCGTGTACGCAGCTTCAATGGATTTATACACTTCTAATTTTAAATATTTTTAGAATTGAAGTGCGAAAAACTCCACTTGCCCAATTCTTTTCAGATTAGAAATACGGGGGCAAAAAAAAAATAAAAAAAACACGTTTCATTATCAACAGAAAACCAGAATGGAAAGGTCAGACGGGAAATCTTGCTTCTTGCAGGCAAAGATTTGTGGAACTTGATCGCTTTTATTTCAGTGAACAAAGTCCACTTCAAGAGATATGCCGATTTAAACCTGAAAGCATCTATCAGTTCCACACCACATGCATTGAACTCAATGCATATCCAACGTTAGGTGTCATATGGCATGAAAATCGGTGAAATGCCTAGGCCGATAAGAATTCCCTATGTTGTCGTTGCAACTCTGTTCGAGTTTTCCTAGTTATTCAGTTATAATGATATTGTTATCTTTAGGAATTCACAAAACAAATCTTCTGTGTTTTGTTTTTTTCAAAGCCTCGTATTTCGAACAGTAAATCGACCTGTTTCCCAGATTTTTTCCCCATCAACCCGCATTGATTTCCAGAATTCATCGTTGATCGTGACCATTCCCACTGCCTCGAAAGCTTCGAAATTTCGCATTTCTTCCTCAAATTTTTCAAAGCAGTTCTAAAAAGAAAACAACATAGAGTGAAAAGCTTTAAAGAATTAAAAGAAAAAGAACTACGAGAAAAATTCTTCACTTCATCATGGACGTTGTGTTCGACCAGTACGTGGCTGATATGGCCGGATCCAACATTAAGCTAACGTAACTCAACTCATAGTAATGTTTATTTACAGAGATAAAAACCAATACAATCCGCAGACTTTTCAAGTAATAAAAACAGTTTTTCATCCCAAAAAGACGAATTCTTCAGACGGGTTTATTTTTAAGCGAAGCTCGTGTTCCGAACAGCTAAGAGATTCTCAGACATGCTGGGTTTCGTTCAGGATGAAGTTCGCAGTCACTAAGCTTGTATTAAAGCTTTCCAAGATTTAAACTCCGCTTTCTACGTTTTAGAAGCTTAGATCTTAAGCAAAATAAACGTTTTAGAAGAACTTTACCAACAATTAATTAACTCTTCAAATGATTTAGATGTCAGGAAATTGTTGGCAGTCAATAGAAAGATAGCATTGTTCATTCAAAGACAAAATTTAAAAAAAAGCTTCTACATATGTGGCACCACCAGAATATTATAGTCGATGAAATAATCCATATATGTTTCTAGAATCACTAACGACACTCTTCTCTCGAACAGCCGCCGTAAGACGATGTCGACACACAGACTGGGATCTTTGCGAGAGTGTACGACTTCAGGAACTACAAGAAGTACTGTTCGTCCGGAATATCCGACTAACAAGTGAAGTGATCTCAGAACTCTGAGTGTCTTCTATCCTAAGGCCCTGAAAGTGATCGAACCGCTAACTGCTTCGTTGAAACATAGGAACAAGTGTTGAACTAAATCCTTGTTGCTTTCTTCATAATGATTGATTAGAAACAGAAATGAAAACAAAGAAAATGTCTGAAAACCATAAGCCATTGACGTCTGCCCTTCCACTGAATGTAATGAAAATTTCAAGCTGCTTCCCGCCATGTTAAGTCATCAGACAATCAATGAATATTACCGAAAAATCCTAAAACATATTAACTGATTTTTTAGACACCTTTCTTCCCACTGCGGTAGCCGGATACTATGAAAATAGCACGTGTTCTTTGAGATTCATTCTAGCTCATCTTCAAATTCCCCTCCTTATACAACTCATGTGAGCCATATGTGGCCCAGATTTTCGTCAATATGACTAGAAAAAGTGCCAATAGAAGAAAAAGTATCCGGAAACAAACGGAGAATTGGGGACAAAAACAAATTTCCCTTTATTTCATGGCCTAGGACAACTGTTACACACGCCCACCAAGTAGCGCAATAGCATATTGGGGGAAAACTGTCATAACTGACATTTTGGATAACAATATAACACCTTTAAAAAGTTTGAATACCCACAATATTCACCGCTGCAATAACTGTGACAATTACCATTGGGCACTTCTTTTGCGGCTTCGTTTTTCCTGAGTTCAGTCTCATCTATTACTGGACGAAAAGAGCAAAGGAAGATGCAGCTATGAGAACTCGCTCCATACTAATTCCACTACAAAAACGTAAGCCAGCAACAAATGTGTGGCTCTCTAAAACCGATGTGTAGAAAAAAGAAAGCTGATTCTACACAGATGAAAAGTATGTTTTGTCTGCGAACTATACTGAAAGAATGGATGGCTAGTGGAGAGAGGAGAGGGCAAGGTGGCATTTTCATGCTTCATTCTTTTCGGGACGTACAGTACACCCTCTCGTAGGCACGCGAACGAGCCGCTCAGATGGAGAAGACGATGCGATGGTGGTCCGAATGCACGGCATGCTGGCGCGAGAAGTGGAGTGCGGTCAGAAACGAGAGAAACAGAGCACGTGAAGAGGGTCAGACACTCAGACACGCTTACGAAGAGGCCAAGGTGGGAGCTGATAAGAGGACTTCCTCTTGCCTTTTCTTTTCATACTCTAAAAGTTATCTACTGAACTAAGTCATAAGCAAGAGATAAAAATGAGCTTTAAGCTAAGCTTTATGTCATTTTTTGAGCTCATTTTCTTGTCACTTTGTTGGTTAGGACACGAGGTTTTACAAAAGCTGATGATTCGATGGAGTTTGCCTTCCTCAGAACCTGGAAAGGTCAAGTTGTCTGCAATCTAACCAGCCAAACACCTCTGTAACGAAAACAAAAGAGGACCGAAATGTTTCAATTGCACTGAGAACAAAATAGCTTCTTGTACTTGTGAATTACAACCACAAGGTTGATGAGATAAGAGCAAAACCCGGGGCCTCAGCTGAGCTTCGAACGATCGATTTCCCTTTCCGGGCCTCACGTGCTATCCACCATTCCAACCGAGTCCCCGCTTTGCCTTTTTTCTCAGCCAGTGTTTTATCCTAACGCTGCGATCGGCAATCACCCGTCAATGGGTTTAATTTAGGGAGCAGTCACATTGCCTAACTTTTATTTGCTGCCTGTTTTTCCTTCCATTCACCTGCACTTTTCTGCCCTTTGTGTAATGAGGCTTACACTGCGCGCAGTAACAGAATATGACAAGTACCGTCTCTGTTCTTAAAATTTCGTCATGAGATTGAAAAGTGGCGAAAGGTTTGTGTGAAACTAATAGGAGAGTAAGAGAAAAATCAAATAGAAACAAAGTTTCTCTCGCTCTCTGAAGAGGACCAGTTCATAAATTTTGAAATAATGTAGGTTAAAATCGACAGTTTGGAGTTGGAGAAACGGAAAGTGGAACTGGAATTGATGAAGGCGAAATCGGCATTGCATAAGTTGGCCGTGAAGAACAGCATCACACAGAGTCGGGTACGTTCACCGTAGATGGAACATTAGAAACCATACGACAATTGAGCAGTAGCATAACTTACAGTCTTACGTTTAACAGTTCAAACATTATGGCGCTGAGATATTTGCAAAACTTGAACCCTTGGTCGAATCGAACCAACGATTTCCCTTTCTTGGTGGCCACGGCCACTCACTGCACCGCTGAGGCTCTTAATTATATGTATACCTTTAGGGTGCAGTGAGCAGCACATGACCCACTGGAAAGGATAGTCGTGACTTCGCTCTGGCCTGCGATCCAAGTTTTGCAAATATCTTAGTATCACGGTGGTTGCATTTCGCATCATACGCTGATGTGAAATATAATACTTGATACTTGAATGGCCCGTCCTCACTGGTTGTGCGGACCCGGCATAATCTCCATTTTTCGGAGATTTGCTGATTAAGCCATTATGGTTTCCCGAAGTCCCGAGGTCAGCCTGGCCAAAGTCTGCCCTAGGTCTTCACGACCATAGGCAGTCGCAGTCCTTGTGGATCAGAGGGAGATTTACCACCATGCGACTTTGATACCATGACGGTGGTCGATCCTGGTATTGGTTTACTCTTAGCTAGGCTTCCTGATGGAAACGCCGGACTCCTTCTCAGGACTCCAGGTTGCGAGACCCTGCCAGGGGATGAATCCCCAGCTGTACATCGCTGCTCGACACCTAGGAACACCTCCCAGCCACGATGAGACGGTAAACTATTGGGAGGTGAAATATAATAATAGTCAGAAAATAAAAATTTGACATTGTAAGTTGAAACACTCTCTTCACGTTCTCTATCTTATCATTTCTGATCAGAACAGATTTTGTTAACTGTGCCTCCTTTTTTCACTTCGTTCGTTTTGTCTTATTCGTCTTCCCTATTCATCGCCTATCATCATAAACTTTTGTATAACAAGTGTAATCCTTAGAATTATATTTAGAATCTTGCAGTACTTTGAAATTCCCGATATTACGATACAACGCATTGATGAGGGATGCGATGCAAAACCAGAATCATTTACCGAGGGTGTACAAACTGATGAAGACGTAAGAGCAATCGCTTATTGATTTTAAATTTTTTTTTGCACCGTAATTTTGTGTGACTACGGTAGGCATCAGAATCAAGCGAAATGACGTCATCAACAAGAAGTCTACTCGGATCTCGTTCTCCTCTTGCACAACGAGAGTGAGCCGTAATTTTTGCTTTTATCGTAAATTAAACTAGATATTTTTTATGATAGCCACCTAGCTATTTTGTTCATTCTCTGACCACGGGGTACATTCTCCTCCACTAGCGTTTCATTGAGAAATTTTTAATTGCGTTGTGTTGCTCTGGTCCAGGTAAGAGTGAAATAGTATTCAGTCGCTGGCTAAATCTGGAACCCCTTCATTCCTTCAAGGTTTGTTAAGTTGTTTTTATAGTGAAATGTAAAACCCTTTCTTTGTGACAATTTACAAAATCGCCTTTCCTACGGAGACTCTCATTTGCAATGAACTCCTTATGTGAAATCAGTTTAGCCACAGAATAATATCGCTTAGTATCGGTTTTGTAATTTGTTAACCATATGTCGTATCTGGAAAAAATTAGCACTTCAGGCGAATACAGCTTGAGGATCGATGCGCTGAATTGCAGTTGCAGTTGAATGCCGCTTCGAAAACGATTTCAGAATTGGAAGAAGTAAAACAGGCCTTAACAGAAGAGGTAACAATATCAGTGTTTAATAGTAATGGGAGTTTGGCCATAGAGCACTTCGCAACATTTATTTTTGTTCGTTTCAACAAGAATGATGAAAAAATAGGGCGTTTTCGGATCGTCCCCACGGGTAGCCGCCAGTCTTTGTGGATCCTCGGGAAGCTTGCTGCCTTGTGATTCCGATTTTTCTAAGACGACAGCAATCCCTGCAACAGCAACTTTTCGGAAAATAACTTTTTCTTGCCGAGTTAGTAGTAGACGGTAGAAAAATCTACTACTTTCCCTGTGATTTCCCTCTTTCTTTCATCGGCAAAGACGTGGTCCGTGAGATCTGCAACAAACCTCCGCGGAGTCGTAATTAGAGTATCTCTGTATAGTTGTAGATTTTCGCCCGTGATAGTTTTCACTTTATTTCAATACTCTAGATTTGTAGAATTACGTTTCGATTATTCCAGATGGTTATCATTGCTTCCAGATTGCAGAGATGAAACGCTGCTACAACGATAACATTGAAAACTCTAGATCAATTGATAACACAGAACTCATCGAGGTACGTTTTATTTAACTATCTAACGGCTTCCTTTCTACGTGAATGAGTAAAAAGAGCCAAGCGTTCGGTGTTGATCAAATTCTGAAGAATACTCCATGCATTCAATTTCGTCAGGTATCGTTAGAGGTGAATGAATGCATATCTGGGCTGTAAAACTCGCAGTGGAAATTTGGCGATTACAGCGGCATGGAAGACTTAGTGAGCTAAGGATCGAGCCATCGACCATATTTTGCAGGGCACCTCCAGTAACTGCTCTACGCACATTTCTTCCACGAATTCATAGTGGAACGATTCGAATACTGTCAATATCTTGTTTCTTATTTTAGAACATGTTAATTGTGTCCAAGAAAATGAATAGCGGAATGGTAGCTATCACGTTTATTACGCGGACTGGTAAGGCGCTGGCTCAATCCCGCTCGGGCGTAGCAAGCCTTTCGTCCTTCAGGATTGAGAAATTGGTACCAGAGTTGTCTGGTACAAGCTCACTTCTTACAATGGGAGCGCCTTAATAAGACCATCTTATGATTCCAGAGAAATCCAACTCGACCACTATTCAACGACATTCGCAGAGCAGACGAAGAAATCTTTAAGCAGCAGCAGAAGCCAAAGAAAAGTTCTAAGACCCTTGTGGATATTTCATGCCAGGAAACAAATCGAATGTAAGAAGTGCTGGGATCAGCACAGTGTTATGGCTAGCGAGCTCGGCCAAGTAATAAAAATAATTATCATTATTTTGTTTGCCATCTAGCTGAGAAATCACTCCTTTGATTTTTTTTACTTATACCACCCGACTTCACATATTTTGTGTCTTCCAGCAATTTCCTTATTTAATTTGTTGTCTTGCGTCTGTCATCCACAAATCTCTTTAAATTTACGGGTAGGTTTTGTAACTGGGGGTGAGCACTTCAGTCTCCTTTATGAATGTCGTTAAATAACTGTCGAGAATATTCTCCCTGGAACCCTGGGATAGTCGAGCTAGGGCGTTCCCAGGTTTTCACCACATGCAGTCGCTAGCCTTGTGATTAAAAGAAAGTGTTCTCAGACAAGTTTGGTAGCGTTTTGTTGATTCTGGTAAAGTGGTGGTTTTGTTAGCTTGGTTTGGGATCGAACCAGTAGGTATGGTGTATGCATTACTCGACATCCCTAACCACTTCTTTTCCCGCCTCACAAGGAACAATTTACAGGCTCCTAAAGCAATAGTTAAGCTATTGAGCTGAGGAATTTAATGGTGATTTAATGGAAATTTAGTTACGAGTTGAAGTGGCAGAACTTCGAGCGGAAGTAAAACGACTATGCGAAGAAAACGCTGCACTCAGAACTACACAAGACACAACTACGGGAAATGACTGACATCAGTCGATATCGACTAGCAAATGTCCCAATTTAATAACGATTTTTTAGCTATTGAGCTGAATCTTGTATTATCGAAATGATAAATATTATCTTAGATGTGAGCAAAATCACTATTTGCTCGGCTTACCTAACAAATTGTGGGTGTGAAAACTACCCCGTTATTGGGATGAGCCAGCGCTGCGAATAGGATCCAACTTTCTAACTTCACTCAGAGCTACTGTTTATTGCGGTGGTATCTTTATAGGGTAGTTCCATCTTCAAGTACCATTCTAAGTACCTGGAAGTAGCTTTAAATCTCAAACAGTTGTTTGACTTGATTCACTTTACTGTCCATCTTTCATCAACTCCACTCACTAGATGACCAACTCGTATATGTTTTCTTTGAATGTGTATTCGTCTGGATGTAAACCAGCTGTATATCTGGCGGTAAACTCTTTATGGATCATAGGATGACGCTTGCAAGCGGCACCATGTTCGAAACCGTCTACCATGGAGAGAACTCTAATAAAACAAATGCACAGAAAATGTGGAGAATATTGTAAAGACTAGCAATCGAACTCTCCATTTTCTCTATAATAACACATAAGGTTGTTACAATACAGTGTTTATTCACAAGGGCTGACGTTCTGGCGGATTTCACCTTTTTTAGAAACTCAGGCTTTGAAAGTTATTGGCAGTACGAGTTTCAATCACACTGGTGCTGAGATATTTGCAAAACTCCGGATCGCAGCTATCTGCGGTGGTTAACGAACCCGCTATAACCCTTTCCGGGGGCTAATGCGTTCACCACCACACCATGCGTGTCCTTCGTTTTGCCTTTTTCACTAATAGTTTTCTATCTAATAGTGCCATGAGCAATCATCCGTCAACAGGATTGACCTGGGGAGCTCAAACCGTTTGTAAAAGGCAGTAAATGAAAAGTTAACATTGTGAATCCAAGTTTCAAACCTTAAATTACACATGCTTAATACTATAGACCTAAACTATCTAGATTCACAAATAATCGTGTAAGCAATAGGGACATTTCCAGTTAACTGGTGTATCGCCGCTCGGACAAGATTCTCCAGTAAGAGTCCAAACTTCTAGTACGAAGAGCTACCAATTCTTCAACGGAGACATTTGCCAGCAAGCTAGTCAGTGTGGGATCGATACAGATTTCTCACTTTGAAGCAATTTTATTACAGCAACGGTGCTGATTCTTGGCATTGATTTATTGCTTTGTCTGGGCTTCCGAATGGAAATACCAAGCTTTTTTTGATTTTCGTGAATGATGGATAAACGTCCTGCCGTACCTCGCAGCTTGACAGCTGCCAACACCCCAAAGCTCGATGACGTCGTCGACAAGGTTTTACAAAAATAAAGCGGGCAAGAAAGGACAAGGAAAAAATGTTTGAAGGTTAAAACAGAAATGCGTACTGGTTTATATGGAGAACAAAGTGTAAAAATCATTCTGTGAACATAAATGCCGAGTTCACAGTGTTTTAGCCTTTATTCACTGCCTACCACTTTTTCATACCAGGGTTTCACTTGAAATGTAACCATAATGGTACTGATACATGAGCGAAAAACGGAACCTCAGCTGGACTTCGAACTTGTGCCTGCTTCGAATTTGTTACCTTCTCCGAGTGCTCACCTGTTACCCACTGATTACATGTATTGCCTTTCTCTGAACCAGTTTTTTTATCGTTATTAGGAATCCTTCGCCTTACGGAAATGATCTGGAGAGCACAGAGCGACATTGAATCCCGTTAAGCTGAAGCTGCTGCCGAAATCACAATATTTTACATTTGCTTACAACCTATTATTTTTTCTTCACACTGTATGATGTGAAATATTGGGTACAAATACTAAATACTAAATAGTGCTGATAGTCGGTGGAATTAAAACATGGCTGAGAGAAAGGCAAAACAACGGCCTCGGTATGTATGGTGGGTAGCGCATAAGCCTCCCTAAAAACTAATCGCTGTTTCGAAGGCTAAGTGAGCTCCCGAGCTCTGCTCATATCTCGGTATTCCTGGTAGTAGTTCTTATCATGTTACTTTAAACAAAATCCTTTAAAAAGGCGACAAAAGCCAAATAGACAGCGAATAGCTTCAAAATTTGTTGTTTATCGTAACCTGCAACTTTTTTGTTGCATTCCTCTCAATAATTTTGCATGTGAACACAGGGATAAATGTTTACGGTGTGAAATACTTCCTGAAATATCAAGCAAATGGCTACCACTCATTAAAGAGGAAAATAATTCAAAAACTGCTCAGCCACAACGCCAACCTACTGATGCTAAATCTCATCTAGCACTCGAAATCAAAGTGGCACCGCTAATTTAGAACAAACACTAGAAACACTATCTCACTTACCGGAAACGAAGAGATAATAACTCATATGTTAAGCTCCGATATTGTCAGCGCTGAGTGCTTTGCGGAACAAGTACAGGCGATGAACGTACAGAACAAAAGCGACCGTCCCACTACACGCTTCAATTTTAGCACAGTAAGTCAATGTGATTTCCGCTAAAAAACGGTGATCACCTGTAGCCCCGTTAGACCGTCGAGTGACCCGAACGGGTGCCAACAAATCTTTCATTTTTCCCTGTCGTGTGCAAGAGTAGCCCAGTGGCTTCTGCTCGCTCTAAGGAATAGTTGAGCATCATATCTTTCTTCAAGGCTCCTTGTGAAGAACTCTGACCATCGGGTCGGTGGTCATCCTGCAGTAGGTTTAACATCCCGAGGAATCCAGTCACTAACGACTCTTGTTCATCGGTTGTTATTCATACGCATAACGTGTCTGGCCTATCTTATCTTCGACTGTTTGGCGTACAGAACGGCACACTCCTTTTGATCGCTGACGCAGAGCGGAGCCTCGGATCACATCCCCTACTCGTGTGGAACGGGATACTCCTAGCATCGTCCTTTCGACTGCGCGTTCGATAACGCTGAGTGACCTTTGATGCAGTTGAGATAGAAGTAGGCTTGAAATCCTTGACTTTCATCCTGCTTATGTAGCGACCAGCTTTCGGATGCATACGTTAGGGCAGAAAGTACCGTTGAGTCGAAAAGGTGGGCACGGAGTCGGATGTTCCTTGTTCTCTTCACTACATCCTCGATGCTCTTGAAAGCTACCTAAGCTGCTCGTTTCCTTCTGCTCAGCTCTGGAGCTAGGTCTTTCATCATGTTGACTTTCTGACCATCATATTGATTTCCCGACCTAGATAGACATAACTGGAGCATTCAGATATCTCTGTTCCGCTGAGCGTGAATAGGGCATGCGAAACCAATCCGTTCTTCATGAACATCGTTTTTGTGAGACTTAGTCGAAGCCCAATCTTTCCACACTTTATCAAAGTCGTCAAGCATACGTTCCGCTTGGCTAATATTTGGTGTTGTAAGGACGATGTCATCAACAAGGTGAAGGTGGTGTGACTGCCTGACATCGATTTCACTCCCATATTATCCTATTCCAATGTTCGAATGACATTCTGGAGAGTGGCGGTAAACAATTTTGGAGAGATGGTATCGCCTTGCCTGACTCCTTTTTTGGCGTCAATGTTAATATCGTTGTAGAATGGTGATATCTTGGCTGTGAAATTTTTGTACAGCTCACGAAGAATCTTTATGCACTGAGTAGGGACTCCTTGACTATCAAAGGCTTTCAAGCCTACTTCTATCTCAACTGCATCAAAGGCCTTCTGTAATTCGATGAAAGTGAGACAGAGCGGTCTTTGGTACTCTCGCAATACTTCAATGAGCCGTCTCACCGTTTGGATGTGGTTCATCATACTAAATCTTCTTCGAAACCCTGCTTGCTCACATGGCTGTCCTTCGTCTAGTGTTCTATCAATCCTGTTTAGGACGAATCAACTGAAAAGTTTGTAGACGACACAGAGTAAGCAGATTGCGTGATAGCTGCCGATATCTTGCAAGTCACCCTTCTTAAAGAATAACACGGTCTTGCTAGTCCTTCACTCAGTAAGGAACTTGCATTCAGGCAGGTAACTTGTGAAGAGCCGACTCAGTGTGTTTACGAGGACTAACGGAAGGTTCTTCAGGTGTTCTGGTCTTATCCTGTCTGTAACTAGTGCTGTTCGATTTTTCATCGACGAGATAGAATGTAGGATTTCGGAAGAGAGAACCGGTGGTAACACATATCCATCCTCCTTTATTTCATATGACGGAAGGTGGACGTGGCTATCAAAGAGATTCGAGTAGTATTCGTGAATGATTTTCTCCACTGCGTTTCTGGACGCTGTAACTGTTCCGTCTGGGCGCCGGAGAGCAATCATTTTGGTCTTATAATTGGCGAAGCTTGATGGGCTTTGCGAATGCTTTTCCCAGCCTCTGCAACTTGGACCATTACTGCTGCTCTTCTCTTTCTAAGACCTTCTTTTATCGCCAGTCTGCATTGTTTTGTAAGTTCGGACGTTAGTTCGCGGTTGCCTGCAGCTCATGCGATTCCACCCAGGCGTATCAGCTCGAGTGTTTCTGGAAACAGACGTCTGTTGGTAACTTTCGAACTCTGAGCTTTCATAGAGCTAGCGTGAAGATGTTGATTGAGCCGATCGTATTCTTCGTCGATGTTAACGATAGCGGCATCTTCCCAACAGCCGACTAATGAATTGAATAAATCCCAGTTTACGGTGGATCTGAGACTTCGGCTTTTCAATTTAGCTGCTTTTTTTTCTTTTCCGAGAGAAATAGAATTTCGCTCGAAGGAGAAGATAGTCTGATCCCGTGTAGAATTTTGGAACAACAGCGTCATCGGTTAGCAAAACCTTCGGTTTACTATCAGACTCTTACGTCGAGCGCTGAGGGTGGAGCTTCTAGAGTTGCGAGTTACCATGGATTGTCTTGGTCGCCATGATAAACTTAGATAGCCGCTCAACCTGTTCGATCCATTCCAATCCGTGGGTCCCAATGTGACGTTCGTCAGACGTTCTGGTCCAATCTTGGCGTTGAAATCTCCAATGATGACCTTGAAGAATGTGTGGTAAGCGACGAAGATTTTCAAAGCCGGAATTAACCCACGTCTTTTTAATCGTGAACGTCCGATTCGGGTTGTAAGTTGTTCGAATGAATCTATGTTCATGGACAAACTCGTGTTGACGAGAACGCCGACGCTGCCGACTCCTCTGCTGTCGCATGCTCCGAGGAACAGTTTTTTTCCGGTGTCATAGACGGCGTTGAAAGCTGGCCTCTCCTCATCTCGGCCAGGCCGATGACGTCGTACCTTATCCTTCTTGCTTGCATGATCAAGTCTTCTATCGAGGATTCGGATGCAAGTGTACGTGCATTGTAGGTACAGATCGTCACCATAGTTCTTTGAAATCCAGGCAGCTTCTATTGGCTCTGGGATTTCAGCAGCCTCTCCGTACTCGTCCTACCCAACGCTGCGAAATTGGGGGCTCTTTCTGGGTCAGGGGAATAAGGCCCGTTTTTCTTTACTGTGCTTAGCATTTTTGATACCCACGTATAGCTTGCTGGGCTCTGAACGTGGGGTTGGGTATACTTACGGGTAGCTTGCCAGGCTCTCTCAGAGTGGAAATGGAGCTTATTTGTTGGAGACGCCTCCTAACCACCTCCCATATACTTTCCTGTCACTTGATTGCAGGCTTTTGACCGAATTGACTCGTAGAATACAATCCGCATAGGCAAGAACGCACCCATACACGCATGCATGAAGACGCCTAGCAAGTGCAGAAAGTTTGTGCGAAATCAGCTCAGCAGAAACAGGGAGTCCATCCCCTGGAGCCATCTGCGTCTCAAGGAAACAAAGGTCGCTTTTGGTCCGCGATTAACCCCCTATCCGCTACCTGGGGACGCGCTACGTGGCCTCGCAACTAACCGGTTCGAGATTCCTCATATGAGGGAGATCCGTGGAAGAAAAACCGATGTTACTTCGTCAATTCTTGAAGGTGAAGCACACTTTAACTAACGTGTTACCACCTAGACAACATGAGAATCGAGGGAATAGAAGGCTAAAAGAAAAAGTAGGGCCGTCATCATATGCTCAAAGTATTTTAGACTATTTTGGTTTTGTTTTGCGCCCATCAATCATCTCGTCTTCTAAACTATTGCAACTTTAGTTTTTTCTACAGATTTTTTTTCTGTGATGCTTTAGCCTATGCTCTATAGAGTCTGTATAGTCGTCATTGTGAGAAAAAGAACGTTTTTTTCCATTTCGAGGGAGAATCTAACTCAAAAATTACAGGAAAACAGACTACGGTACCCATGCACAGAAGCAATGGTTTATTATTGGAACACCGAAACAAATTTACTAAGTAACATCGTGACTTGCTCATGCACCCTATTAATAAGACGAGTAAGGGTATAAATGGAAGCAACAAGGGTATCGTCGACATTATTGATCACTGCACTATAGATGCTTTCATAAAAATAGCACGCGTGCGAGATCATCATAATAGAAAAAATGCGTGTTGCGTGGTGGTCAGAGCTACAAAACCTTTCAGTACGCACATGGTCGTTGGTTCTATCCCTAGTCATGAGCAAATCTAGCCGTTTCGTCTTTCGAAATCAGTAGATATGACACGAGAGTAGTTTGTGAGGGCAAAAACACTGAGCTGATATATTAGTAAGCCAACGCAAGTAATTCATTGCCGCATTATGCAATCATCCATTTCCACGATGGGTATGAATTAACGTCCCTAGGGGACTGATCAATAGTGAAGGCTTTTTCCTTTGTGGAACAAAAAAATTATTAGTGATGAAGACCCATTCTTCTATTTGGTTCTATACGATTGTCATATCCTTGAAGAACAGAGGTTAAATAAAGTATGCACAAGAAGCTTAATTATGGGGAGAAACAAAAATCTATGAATAGATTGAATAAATATCTGGTTGACAAATGAGACCTGGTAAAAAGCTAAATAAGCAATATTGTGCAAATTGTCTACCATCGAAGTAATATCCGACATGCGTTAACGACGTTTTGTCATTTAGGAGTACACCAAGGGGATAGAAGACAGCGAGTAGATAGTGGCTGATCACATAATGCAGCCAGTATTGACTCTTGGCTGTGCAGCTAAAGATTACATAACAGATGAGAAAAGGGAGGAATAGGATTTCTACGCTTCTATACTGATGGAAATGTCAGTTAGTTCAGGTGGTAGGGTGTGCGCCGTTTCCGCGGAGCATTCAAGATCTATTCTCTAGAGATCACCCAGCATGTTTCTGGACATTTTAAGCTGAAACAGTGGAAGAGAATCAGTGTTGGTCGTTCCAGAGCAACATGGTAGAACGGATCGTTCTAGACGTTAAATAGCCAGTAAAAAACTTTATAAGAGCGCTGCTAACTCAATGAATGGAAGGGGAAAAGTAGATGCACCCGAGGTCCTATGCGCTGAACGATCAGCAGCGTAAACGACAGGGTGCACACACACGTGAAAGAAGCGCAGAATAAAAGAATGATAGAAGACATTTCCGAAGATGAATTGAAAACCAAGTAATGAGCAGATACAGAAATAGTGGAAAAAACAGGGAAAGGAAAATGCATACCCAGCGTTGAATTCGACTTCATTAAGCGTCGTTTAGAGGTAATTGTATGCATAACTGACCTTTATAATGACTCACGGTGGCCTACCGATGTATCGAGCCAGTGCTGATATTCTCTCATGCAGGTCTGGTACCAATTTATCTATCCCGAAGGGATGGAAGGCGCAGTGAGCCACTGGCGCAGATATCGATCCCATTTGTACTGCAGGGCGCCTCCGACCACTGCCCCACACGCACCAGTGTGAGATAGGTATCTAGGAGTAAAAGAAAGATGAAAAAAATACGAACTTTATATCTTTTAGTTAAAACTACACTCCTGTTTCTTCCTTCTTGTTTCATTTCCCTGTTTCAAGCAATTTTACTTCACTGCCTTTGTTACACTGCAGAGGAATTGTGCGAATGTTTACATAAGAGTTGTATTGTCATACTAGTCCACCTGGCACTCTATTTCGTCTTCTGTAGGTCGTCATCTTCCCCAAAGAAACAGAGAACTATGTGTTTTAGATGAACTCTGGAAGAAATTGGAGTAGTCCGAATGAGTGAGCGGTCCCTGAAAATCTCTTTAGAAGTGGAACTACGTGATGGGGTGATTTAGGCTCCCTCATTAAGAGCGACGTTCCGCTCGAACGGAATTCATTTTCATGTTGTCTCATTCCATTTCATTCATCAATAGATAGTTTTCCATCAGTGATTTAGTGCCTATCCTCTAGCAATGTGTATATAGGAATAATGAAGGAAAATAAGAAGAGCAGCGAAACCAGGACGCGACAACCCATAGAAGTGTGCCGACGTTAATTACCTAAGTAGTAACTAAGCGTTAGTTGATAATTTATGATGCACCATTTTTAACTCGATTCTGCATCGTAGAAGTGAACGAGTGCATACCAAGCATGTGAAATAATTTGTGGATGCTTACCGTTGTATCAATACAGTGTTGTGTATCTTCGCAAAGAATCTGGTGACAATTTCCTGACCCCGAAAGAAGTTTTTCTGAACACTATAGTGATTGATCGAGGAAAGGTCTGAATTGCAACAACGCCCAACTTTCACTTATAATTGCTTCATAGTCTCTTTTGGCTTCTAACTTTATGCAGTCCTTCTAATAACCCCTTTATTGATCGCATTAGTGGGAGTTCTTTCTTATTTCTCCCTCGCAGAATATTCCAAATGCTCCGTGATGTGAAAAACAAGGCATTCTTGAATTTTTTCTGCGCAAATCGTCTTCGTATCTACTGTGCGGATCCCGGTTTTCTTTCCATAAGTAGTATAAAAAGTTCCTCGAAAAGTTAGCGTTTGGGTTCTGCTGCTGCTTGAGGATTGTCTTTTTTATGAACGTCATTGATTGGTAATCGAACCGCCTCTCCCTGGAATCCTACGATCACTGGGCTACAACGAGCTCAAGCAGACTGTTGGGGGTGAACTGTTCTTAGTCAAGTCTCGTACAAATTCCTTGGCCAAAGAAAGAGGCTCGGTGAGCATATGATAGGTCCAACCAGCAGCGTACGTGCCCATCATGAATGGCATCATTACTACTGCGCTATCCGCCCCATCGCTGTTCTAGAATAATATGTTTCATTTTGCAGGAATTGTTGGTGAAATCCGAACCCATCACACCATTGCTATTATGAGGATAATTTTTTCAGAGTTTGCCTTATTTCACTTCAAAATGCGGGATGTTAAAATGGAAATTCAAGAATATCACTTCTCCTTCCTTCCACAATGACTTCCACAAACCGTATTAACACTACCGCATCTGTAATTTCATCGTAGTATCTTACCAACTTCTCCAATATCTTAGTGTCTCATATAAGCAGGAAGGTCTTCTTGGGTGTCGAATTGAGACGTAGAGTAAGAGTTGTTAAGACCGGGTTGGCTCAAACTGGAGATGAAGGGCATTTCCATCCAGATTCCATTAAATATGTACTACGGGTTTGTTTGCAAAGTTAATCGAGGTTAACTTTTAAAATCAGCTTAGAATGGATATATCACTAAATGTACGATGCTCTTGATAACCGTCGACTCCATTTATCACCACTAGTAGTTGGTGAACCCTTTGATAGAATGAATATTTGTTTCTTAGCGGTCGAGTTTCATTGAGAGCACATACGATTTCCAGTACGTGCTTGCTCCGAATTTGAAGTCAGCTGAAACTATCGAACTGCTTTTCCAAGTTAACAATGCTACTGGAAGAAAAATCCATGGAGGCTGGTTTGCGTGGGGCGTGGTCGAGCCACAGCCTTCCTTCTATTATTGAGCAACATCTTCACCACTGTGCTGTGCGTGGGCCCATTTTAATTTTATCAGTATGAAAACAGACGTTATTAGAAGGATAAAAAGCTTTCATATTCCCGGATTTCATCATTTGGTCCATTCCACAATGAAAGCCGTCCGTTGATGATGAAAACTTGGAGGAGCAGAAGATTGTAGGTGCCAATTAATATTTTTATTAAAACAGAACATTTTCCGCATTGAATTCACGTGTTAGGCCAAGCTGTAGAAATCACTCTTCCAATCGTAAGAATTATCACCGCTACAATAATTATTACTGTTCTAGAAAAATCATTATCACGAAAAAACGCATCAAATAGAAGAATTACTTGAGTTTGACAGCTAGGTAAATTATGATAATGTAAGCGAGTAAGTAGGCAATAGGTAGGTGAGCAAGTTATACCTTGTGTTTCGCACTTTTATCTGGAGAAGTCGTAGCTCTTCGTGCACACTGTCGCCGTCGAGTCTTTGACAGTAGCTCTTGGTTGCAACAGTTTTGCTGGGATTGAAGAGTACAGAATGTGTGAAAGATTCCATCAGCCGAGGAAGCCATAATGGTCTTCCATTGCTACTAACTCGGTTTCAAAAAGTGTTCCGATGCTTCATTTCTGTCGACTGAACTCTGAATAACATCGACTGGTTTGCTTTTTCGTCGTGCAACATCACACTACCGTTAGGAAAAGAACAGTTTTCATTACGCAAAAAAATAAGATGGCGGCTTCGTAACAAAGACCTCTTTGGTACTTTTTTTCAACTGAGATGCAAAATCGAGGCGCGGTGGATTTTTTCAACTTTTGGAACTGTTACACAAAAATGTCATTACGTTGAGACTTAATTTTCAACGAAACCTTAAAGCCAACATTTTACTGAACGTCCGGATGCAATACATTGCGTTCTTAGTACTCCACAGCTCCAATAAGCTTGGAGATCGGATTCGTGCAATAAATTGCTCCAATCTACTGGTTTTCCATTTTT